GTCGCTAGCCTCCCCGTGGCGCATTCTGGGTACGTTTTCGTAGCTAATAGTGACATTAATTCGATTTGGTCATTCTTATGCTCATCCACTTTCATCGCTGTTTTATGTGCTTCCTTTTGCGATTACGAAAAAAATGCATAGAACTTTTTTTATAGAGAATTATATGCTCTACATTTTTTGTTTGATACATTTTTTTGTCACATTCGTACTTTTCAAGATAAATACAAAAAAATCAGAAAAAATCTGTTTTTCAGCGAGTTTTTCAAGATAGCGGCTTCAATGTGTCCGACCGCCAAATTTTATTATCATATTCGTAATCAGGAGGCAAAAATACATCGGAAACACATAGTTACGATTTTTTTTCGAGGGAAGTAGTCTTTCCGAAGGTTTACCAAATACTAAAATATAGCAGATACATTAAACTGTTATTTTCAGATTTTCCTCATTATTTCGAATACTTTCAAAATAACTTTATTCGACATTTTGTAATAACTTTCTTTATGTATAAAAGTAACACACAATAAAGTATATTTTTAAATTGTTGTAATTGAAGCCTCTTCGTTTTTCGCTCAATATATTTTTATACTGACAATGAGAAAAGCTGCGTTCTACGTCGGAAGAAGTAATAGGCGCTTACTTGAAAAATTTTAAGTGTTTGAAAGAAATTGGTTTTTGCAAGACTTTGGAGAAGATGCTTTTATTGTCTTGTTGTTAATTGTCCCACCGCGCACCGCTGCGTTCCCCCCTATCGATACTTCAAGCAACGGCTTCGGGCATGACGAGTTGTAGTGGAGATAGGAACGTGCTACGATCAATTCGAATTGGTACGTCCGTCGGCGGAAAATCCGGGCTCTAACAATTACAATGAAATTTTAAGGCGTAACATTTGAACCTTAAGGAAATTGACCTTTCGTAGTTGATTATTTTTCTCAATCATGAAGTCTTAAAATTTAAGTTTTACATCTTAAATTGCTTTATTATAGATACTTTACAGAAATAAAACGGAGATAACCTAACTTTTATAATGGCCGGGTATATTTTTATAAGATTGATCACTTCCGTTTATGTTAAAAGCAAGTACAATAATTTTTCCATTAAAAATATTTTTTCTTTAAATAATATTTTTAAAAATTATAATTGTTTAAAATTTGGAAAGAGACTATTTTTGTCGATTTTTACCATTGCGAATTTTAATAGAACAAATTTTTGCTGTATAATGTAATGTAATAAAATTGTATCTCTCTCTAAATAATATTAAGTTATACAAAAATTCCTTATTTGTAAATTTTAGAAAACTTATACTTGTAGATAAAATAATGTAAAACATGTATATTGTATATATAATTATAAAACTCATACTACGTAAGCAAGAAATAAGAATTCTTTACAATTGTATGTTACAGATCTGAGATGAATGCCCAGTGAAACCAAGCTATACCGAAACATACTGAACGGGAACGATATTGATATGAATATATCATATATGGAGATACATTTATAAATATTAATGTATTCGTAATCATAGTTAATTTATGTGGAAAAATAATAAGAAAAGTAATGGATAGGAAAGCAACAGTGAATTAAATTAAATAATTTAATTACTGGCGCAACTTGTATGAGACTATTTCTATCTTGTGAATTGATCGTGACAAGAAACTTTCAATAACGACTTGGCATCAAGAATATCATATAATCGATCGGCTCAACTGCACTAACTTTTTATTGCATTTTTAAAAATTATATGTCGTACTTGAAAACGAAAAAAATAGAGGAAGAAAGGGGAAAAGAAAAGTTGATTTAAAAATATTACCTTCTAGTTCTGATTTTTTAATGATCATAAGCTATTTTAACTGTTTGCTAATATTGAATTATCATTTCAAGAAACATTTGTTCAGTATAACAGTGATGAATTTTATTCAAAAATTTAATCTACCTGGTTGTACTAATCATTGTTTGCACAATCTTGTTGATTAAATTTTCGATCTAACGAGAATCAATATTAAAATGCTAATTACTAATAAATGAGATTGTACAGATTGATCAATTTTTATGAATATTCGTGAATCTAATAAAATATCGAATCTGAAATTTTAATCATCTTGGTGACTAAAAGTCTTTTAACATGGCGCTAATATAAAGTCAGAGTGTCTGGCGGTCCTTGAATCCTTGAAATCCTGGAATTATACTTGAATTTAACATACTCTCAAAAACTCCTGGAAAACCCCTGGAATTTCAGGACTAACCTTGAATTTTTTATTCTGTGAATTTAAAAAAAATTAGATCGCGAACAAAAAAGAAATAAGAATATTTTTTGCTCGCGCTGATCGTATGTATCGTTTGTGCTCGAGAATTGGCGCTATTTGCCTCTGTATAATGACCAACATAATGGAAAGATTCGTTAAGCCGGAAGTTTTAAAAAATATAGAATCTTTTAAAATTGATCTCGAAAGTACTAATAATTTATTAACTACAAATAGTATTGACATTGGATATACAACAAGAGACGCACTTAGACATACCAAAAATATTTCGCAGCTTAAAATTTTACAATTTAAAAATACTTGCCGCACATGCCTTAAGATTTTTATCTGTAAAATTTTGAATCGATCGCCGCTCAATTATAAATTAGTAAAAGCAATCTCTTGTGTTGATCCGTCAATAGCTGCTAATGAAGGTATTGCAAAAGCACGCCTGAATACCACACACATTGCAGATATTTGTGGAAAATAAAATTATTACAGGAACACAAGCTGATCAGATTGCACGCGAATTCAAACAAATAATAACAACGAAAATTGCTAAGGAATGGTTTGCAACTTTTGACAGAAGTCAGACGCGTTTGGATCATTTTTGGATGAATCGGATTCAAACGTTTGATCTGAAAAATTATATAAATTTAACCGATTTTATTCGTAAGGTACTGATCCTTTTGCATGGTAATGCTGCTCTCGAACGAGGCCTTTCAGTTAATCGCGAATGTTTAACTAATAATCAGAAAGAAAAATCGTTAATAGCTCAGCGATCTATTTATGATGCGATGATTACAAATGGAAAAGATGTAAACAGCTTTGAGATTACAAAATCTATTATACATTACGCTCGCAATGCGCATGCTTGGTACATACAAAGAAGCGTTGGCAAAAGAAAAAGAAGACTAAAAGAAAGAATTACGTGGAAGAGTAAAAAGAAACGAAAAATATGTTAAAAGTATTAAAAAGTAAAAAAAAAAAAGATTTTAGATGAAGCTTTAAAAGCAAGTGTAGATATTGAACATCAAATTGATAATTTAATGAAGCTCTGATAAATCAATTTCATATGGTAATTGATTTATAAGAATGTTTATGATATGTTAATAAAAAGAAAAATCACTTATGTTTATAAAATATATTCATTTGATATTATTTATGAAGCAATTAATAATTTTGTTCCGAATTTGTTAGCATTTTAATTCATTCGTCATATAGAATCCTAACTTGATACTTCAAACTTGATAGTACAAAGCGTATAACATTGTGCGAATCGATGAAAATTAATCAAGTTATGGAAATTAATCGATGGATATATAGTATCCTGGAAAAACTAGGATTTTTTACCTGGAATATCCTGGAATTATCCTTGAATGGATTAGTCAGATATCGCTAGACACCTGTAAAGTTGAAGATACTCCGAGAATGATTATGAAATTCTCTTGACAATGTTGCATAGCCGTAAATGTAGTTCCTAAGCCTTTGGCTTGTCAGAATCATTTTTCTCGGGCAGAAACCGAGAGAACCGCGATTATTTATTTTTTTTTAGACAATTCCGAGTATAACCGAAAATTCTGGGGTTTGCTCGAAACAGACACGATCAGCGCGTTGAGCTTTTGTATATAATCTTTTTGATATGCGCTAACGTACTCCTAGATGTAAAAGGTAGGGTCATTCCTGTAGAGTAAACCTGTAAGTAAGCGATAAGTTCGAAAGGTATATCATAAGGATCATCGTACACGTACTTAAGAGTATGAGAAATTAATTACGAGGACGGTCGATCAAGGTAAGAAAAATAAAAAAAGTCAAAAGTTTCAGCAATACCACACGACTCTATCGTAAACTCGTGTTGGATATAAGGGAAGGTCGGGTAGTATCGAATACATAAGTTTTTTCACAAATAATTTTTTTTAATAGTTAAATTTGAACATACTGTATTCCATACAAAACTTTATGCTTATATTGAAATGTGGCGACTCTTATCAGTCGCACTAACGAAAACCCACCGAGCAGCTATCTTTCGTTAAGCGCTCGGTGGAAACATCCAAGCGCCTGTAGCACTCGACCATACAAGCGCCCGTAACACTCGACCGCGCGCAAGGGCCGCGCGACGCGCAACTACCGCGGTACGCCCACCAGAGGGCTAGCGCCGATAATGTTATCACGTGCGAAGAATCGGTCCAGGGCCCTTATAGATAAGGCGCCGAACCGATCAACCACCACCGAGCTGTGGCATGCAGGGCTATACCTCCAAGCAGTTTTTACCTCAGCTACGGTCTCTTGACAAAGCGCAGCCATTGCAGCTACAACCGCCACCGCAGCCTCATCAGCAGCAGCCACCGCAGCCTCCGCCGCAGCCTCCGCCGCAGCAGCAACAGCAGCCAGCGCAGCCTCCACAGCAGAGGCCATCACAGCCTCCGCAGCGGCAGACGCCGCAGCCTCCGCAGCAGCAGCCGCCGCAGCCGCAGCAGCCGCGGTAGACGCTGCAGCCTCCGCAGCAGCAGCCGCCGCAGCCGCAGCAGCCGCGGTAGACGCCGCAGCCTCCGCAGCCACTAGCCCGCCAGAGAGGGACCTCGCTTATCCAGCGTCTGCGCCAGCAGCTCCTGCGCCGCCGCCAACTACAAGCGACGGCCCCCAGGATCCGGCCGGTAGAGGCCACAGGACTGTTCCGGCGCCAGCCAAGGCGGCAACATCAGAGGGGGTATTCACCGCAGCCTCCGCCAGGGTCGCCGACACTGCCGACGCCTCCGGCCGCTCCGCAAAGACCGCAATCGACCGCTGCGCGAAAGGTGACCCTCCAGCTTGCCACCTGGAAGCTAGAGCGGCTAGACATCCCGCCGCCTGCTAGGACCAGGCCACCGAGGTATTGCCTACACCCGTGGGACCTGCGGGTACGCCGGTACACCTCGCCGAGGTACCAACAGGCGCATCCACCGGCGAGGCAACAGGAGCTGTCCTCTGGTTCAGAGTGGGAGGCCCCCAACCCGGAAACGACGAACCGCAAATCCGAGGACATCAACGGCAACTACTGGGGCCCGGAGAAGAAGACTCTGACGCAGCCCTCGCTCATCTACCGAGAGCGAGTCACCGAAAAGCGTCGAACCACCTAGTAGACAAGCACGCAGCCGCCGCTCACATACAAGGAGCGCAGTCCCTCTAAGTGAGGGAGAAAACATTTATATCATGTATGTTTGTGGAGAGTTGTATCGGACATGATAGTATGTAAGAAAGTATATATATTATTTTATATTATATTATTTTATATTATATATTATTATATAAGTAACATGTTAATAAATAAATATGAACACTTTAATGTAACAAGTCAATGAAATGAACAGTCTTTGAAAATTGAACATTTTTCGTTCTATAAAAAATAAAATAAAATAAAAACTATATCCTATTTACTTTTTTTTGTACAATCATCAAAAATTATAAAAAAGATTGCTATTTTCAAGATCGGCACAATTTTCGTGATCCCAATCTTTACAAATATTGCACTGAATCCAATCTTCTTCAAATGTTTCACCGTAGATGATGCTGTGAGTCTTTCAGCTTTCTTCCCTCTTTTCTTCTTCAAATTTTAGTGCCTTTTTAGTTTTTATTTTTAACGGAACTCCTCTATTTTTCAATTTTTCATTTCGTTTTTTTTAGTTAGCTTGATCTCTTCGCTTGAACTGCTTTCTTTACTAGATGTTTCTTTTTTCTTTTTTTATTCAGACGATTTTCTTCTTTCGATCTCTTCTTATTTGCAACAATTTTTTCTGTCTCTTCTTTCTTTTCTTTCTTGTTTTCAAGTTGGACTCAAATTTTACTTTTTCTCCATGACTTTGTCTTGAAATGGATTTGGTATTTAAACTACTAGGAAGCGGTGAAATTTCCTCTAAAATCTTTCAGAATGTAATTGGCCTGGAAAAACATTATTTTTTATGAAATTGAGAGGGGAAAGCCTCAGTCAGAAGTAAGTTTGTAACTTGTTCACCAACTGCTCGCACTTTCTCCATTTGTTCGTCTACTGTTGGTTTTGAGAGCCCAGGTAAATTCAAAATCGTGGTAGATAAGAGAAGAGTAGCTTTATCTTCTATAGGCCTCGTGGACGCATCACAAATATCTTGTGATTGATCTGACAATAATCCAAATCATCAAAAACATTGCGATTCAATAGATAAATGCCTGTACATTTGAAATATGACTTGGCCAGTTCCATTCGATATATTCTTGAAAAGGTAAGCCAATTATGTCTTTGAGGGCGAGCTTTATGTTTAGGTACTTTCGCATCCAGAGTGAGCATGCCTCGTTATACGCATTTTTTAAAGGCTTTATAACTGTTCAAGTAGCTGCAGTTTATGTGATGTATAAGGGGGCAAGGAGAGTATGTGGATGTGATGTTGTTTCGCAAATAAAATCACATCAAGGTTTTTGCGGGACCATCCAAGATTTATAAGACAGGATCTTCAATTATACCAGAAGGTTTGCGGATTATCGCCGTGTCTTTCTTGATTATTAATGCCAACGTTTCATGAACCATGCCGTTCACTTCATACTGAGTCAGTATCAGTGCACCCTTCGCCCTGGTGAAGTAAACGGTATGGTTCACGAAACATTGGCATTAATAATGAAGCAAGACATGGCGAAACCCGCAAGCCTTCTGGTATAATTGAAGAAAATACCCGTGAAAGCCTCAAAAGCGTAATCAAGACTGGATCTTGTTCATTTTGTTTCATCCATTTTACAAACATTTTCAGCCATTTAAGAAAACCTTCTTTCGTTTTCCATCCGCTCGATTGAGCATCAAAAATACTTTCTAACGACCCTTTTTCAAATCATTGTTTAATTTCATACGTGGAAGTACCAAAAGTTGAAGAAAAACTGATCCCAAGAAGCATTGATAGATAGGAAGACTGTGACATTTCTGTCTTTTTCTACAAATGTCTACTTCCCCATATTTGTTTCTTATCTTTAACTATCACTTTAAGTTTGTTGGTATGGACACATGATACGCCAATCTCATCGACATTGAAAATCTTTGAAGGATTTTAATGTTCAATTGGTCCATCAGTTGAGTTAACTTGTCAAAAAATCTATTAACTTGTACCTTGTTAAAACCTGCCGCTCGTTGCAAGCTTGTTGATTCAGCAATCCTTAATCGTAGGTCTGCATGCCTTTTCATAAAATCATAATAAAAATCTTTGCCTGCCATCATTGTTGTTTTATTGAAAGGATGATTGATTTTCAATTGTTCTGTATATTGATATATGAACTTCAAAAATTTTTTCTTACTTAGGGGCATAAGCTGGCTATCTAAGTTCTTAACGTGATTATATAAGATCTTCTCCTGTTCATCATTGAATGTTCTTGGAAACTTTAATATTTTCTAAATATGGTTTTATTTCGATTTCTTTACCTTCGGCAAAACTTTTCAATTTATCACTTAATGTACTCTTTGAAACAAAATATCGTTCGTTTGCTTTTCAAATGGGCATTTTCTTAATTCTAACTTTTTTTGTGGCTTTCTTCATACCTTTTTCGTCCCATTTATGACGTAATTGCCCATGTTGCCCTGTAAATTTTTTTTTTTTTTTTAAACCCCACTTTTATTTACAATCTGTCTACCTTGACAATAAGTAAATTTCCTACAGTTGATAAAGAGCATATAAGTATTCACCCAGTGGTTAATACTTTTACAGATTATTTCATAACGAAAGTATTACAATAAAACCATGTTAGATAATTATACTTCTATTTCTTTTGAGTCTTGAATTCGTAGAAGTTATTTCGTTAATCCTAGCTGCTAACCGATTCGGATGTTCCTTAAGTCTGTGTATGTATTTGTTGTAGTGAGTTTTTATTTCCTCTTTGACGGTAGGAATTTTTAGATCTTTCCTAATTATATCATTTGGTACAAACCAAGGTGCATTGACTAGTTGTCTTAAGGTTTTTGATTGAAAACGTTCTAAAATATCAATAGTAGAGTGTGAAGCTCCAAAGTTGTATTCCATATGTCCATACAGGTTTAAGAATGCTTTTGTAGATAAGTATTTTGTTTTCAATCGTTAACTTTGATTGGTATCCCAGTAACCAGTACATCTGTCTCAATTTCAAATTTAGCTGTTTACGTTTGGTCCAGATATGGGTGCTCCAAGTCAACCGACGATCAATATGCATCCCCAGGTATTTAACGACATTTCTTTGCGGTATTTTTGTTTTATTAAGGTATATTGAGAAACACGATGTTTTCCGAAGTGTGAATGTTACGTGAGTTGACTTTATCTGGTTAATTTTTATTCTCCATTGCTTAAACCACGCACTTGCAACATCAAGATATTTTTGCAAGACTTCAGCTGCCACTTCGGGTCTGGGATGGCTTACGAGTACCGCAGTATCATCAGCGTATGTTGCTGTAGTGATTTTCTGCATTGTTGGTAAATCAGCTGTGTAAAGTAGATATAAGATCGGACCCAAGACGCTACCTTGGGGGATTCCGGCATTAATTGAATAGAGTTTTGTGACAGTTTGGTTTATTTTAACTTGGAAAGTTCTTTTAGTTAGATATGAGTACAGTAATTGATAAATATTATTTGGAAACATTCTATTTAATTTATATAGCAAACCTTTATGCCACACCTTGTCGAAAGCCTGTGCCACATCTAGAAAGGCACCGGTACAGTATTCTTTATTTTCGAAGGCCTCTTTGATTTTACTAGTTAGTCGGTGGACTTGCTCGATTGTTGCGTGATGGTTGCGGAAACCGAATTGGTGATCCGGGATTAGTTTTTTGGATAAAACAATTGGATTTATTTTGTTCAGCAAGAGTTTTTCACAAATCTTAGACATGACAGGCAGTAAGCTTATTGGTCTATATGATGTAGGAAGATCCGGGTTTTTACCCGGTTTTCCAATTAATATTATTTGTGCTACTTTCCACTGACTGGGGAAATGGCACGAGCGAAAAACAGCATTTATTAATATAGCGAGAAATCGGATACCATTAGGGGATAATTCCTTGATTAATTTACCACTAATGTTGTCGTAGTCTGGTGATTTTTTATTCTGGAGAGATTTTAAAATTTGTTGCACTTCTTTAATTTTGACTTTTATTGTTAGTAATTCTTTTTGGACAGGGATTTCTTCGAGACTAATTAGTTCCTTTTCCTCTTGATCGGTTATTTCTTGAGCTGCAGGCTGGAACACTTCATGCAGATGTTCAGCAAAGGCATAAGCTTTTTCAGATTCGCTTCTTGCCCATTTCATTATTCTTTTTGATTGGTGGAATATGTAGCTGAGGTTGTTTCAGTCTTTTTGTAGCTTTGTATAAAGAATAGTTTGTTGCTTCCGTAGCAGTTAATTGTTCGAGATAATTTTGAATGGACTTGTTTTTCTCTGTAATAAGTAGGGATTTAAGTTCTTTAGTTATTTTGTTAAGTTTTGTTTTGTTCAATTTAGTTCGCGTGATTTGCCATGTTTTTCGTAATTGCCTTTTCTCTTGAATTTTTGCTAGAATATTTTTAGATATGTTTTGAGATTTTTTTAAAAGAGCGACTGTTGGAGTAGCTTCGTTAACTGCCTTGTGAATTAGTGTGTTGAATCCTTCAATTGTGTTTTCTAGTTCTGTAGGATTCTTAAGTGGGATGTTGCAATTTAGATTTTTATCTAAATATAACTTATATTTTGTCCAATTGGTTTTCCCATTATATAGGTGTTGTATTTTTTGTGACATAGTAATTTGTTGAGTAAACGTGATAATAACCGGTGAATGATCTGATGAAAGGTCCAGACATGATTTAGCGATAAAACATTTTGGATCAATGCTTTTTATGATTGCAAAATCAAGTAGATCAGGGGACTTCTTTAAATCTGAGGGCCAGTAGGTGGGCTCTCCGATTGAAATTGGAGTTAAGTTTTCTGCCTGTAGTGTTGCATATAATTGACGGCCTCGTGGGGTAGGTGTCAAGGAATGAGACCCCCACCATGAGTGTTTGGCGTTGAAATCTCCGGCAGCGATAAAGCGGTGGCCCAGGCTTTTGAAGAATTTTTGGAACAACTCTGTTTTTATTGAGTGCTTAGGTGGACAATATACAGCTGAGACTATAATGGATCCTTCTTGATCATTCAGAGTTACATTGGTAGCTTGTATAAATTCGTCTTCATTTATTCCAGTTAAATGATGTTTAATAGTTATTTTTATAATAACGGCTGTCCCACCTTGCGCTCTTCCGCTAGGGTGCTTGGTATCGTAAATGGTATAGTTTGGAATTTTTATATAGTTTTTATTTGTGAAGTGTGTTTCTGAGATCAACATAACATCGATTTTTTGGTCAATTAAGAACTTCTTAACTTCCAATGTTCTTTGAGCTAAGCCATTTGCATTCCAGATTGCTATATTTATTTCACGATTTTCCTTATTGAATTTTGTTTATTAAGCTTGTAAGTAAATTTAGCATTGTGTCCATTCGACTCATGAGCTGAGCCATCATTTGTTCGAGTTTACTTGTTGCTGTTACTGATGTGTTTGTTGTCGTTTGTGTTTCTATTTGAGGCTGAGTAATATTTGTTGTATATTGTTTATGGTCGGATCTCACAGTGTGCGCGTACGTTATATTTGGTTTAACGAAGCGGTTAAGGCTTTGTAGCTGGTTCTGGGTTTGTTGATTTGCAGATTTTTCTCTTAACGTTGGGTATAATTTTTGTTGTAATTGTTTTCGCACTAAACAGCCTTTGTAACTAGCTGGGTGATTACCGTCGCAGTTAGCACATTTGACTTCTTTAATTTTTCCTTTTGTTGGGCAATCAAGAGTAAGATGATTCATTGCGCATTTTACACATACCGGACTTTTAAAACAATAGTTTTTTGTGTGACCGTAACCCTGGCATTTCTGGCATTGAGGAATCTCCCTTTTTTTGCGAAGTGGTTCGAAGCTGACGATTATATTCAGTAGCTTATCGATGTTATAAATAGATTTATTATTATCTTTAGGTTCAATCTCTATTATGAATAGTGGTACAGATTTTTGTGTAGTTCTTTCTCGTATATTTGTAATTCTAATTACTTTATGTTCATATTCTTCGATGGTAGCTTTTAAGTCTTCAAGATCCGTTGATGGGTGCATGTTTCTTAAAACCGCTTTATAGGATTTATCCTGCTTTCTTTGATAGGTGTAAAATTCTGTCTTTTTCTTTTTCAAGCCTTCGATGATTGGTAGATATTTTTCTGACATGCTAGGCAGGATTTTTACTTGGTCATTGGCCAGAATTTTCAGGCTGTAGTTTTTGCCGTCAATTTCATCTAGCAATTTCGTAAGCGGTCCTATGTCCTCGACTCCACTGACAAATATTGGAGGTGATTTGGAGGTTCTCTCTTCATATACTTTCTGAGTATTATTTTCTGTATCTTCATCTGTGGCTAGTGAATTAAACGGATTTTCAGAGATTATTGTTTTATTTAACCAATAGTCCTTGATGTATGTTTGGCGTTTTTTGGCCGTGGTTTCCCCAGGACTGCTTCTTATTCGTTTTTTTTTTTTGGCGGATGGTTGCCATTGCTGATCTGCAGAGTCACTTGAATTTCTTCTATCTGAAGAAGATCTAGTTTCGTTTGAGGCCATAGGCCATATATATTTGATTATTTAGTTTCTCTCTTAAATTTATATTTAACACACGTTTTCGCGTCTATTACTATAGTTAGCTGTACAGCGAAGCGACGTAGCACAGCGAGGCGAAGTAAACAAACACGTCTGCTCGCTCCGGCTGTTCGAGCTGAACTGCCCTGTAAATAATACAAAAAATGTGAGAATTTAAGTTTTATCAATCGTAAAGATTGTCCGATACAATCAACAACTCATCTGTCCGATACAACCCGCAACTGCACGCAACGAAAAATTGGTTGTCACTTGTGTATTAATTAACTTAACGAGATTTACAGCCTACAACTTCTTCTTCTTCTTTATTTTAATGACTCAGGTGAGCGCCCGCAATACGGCCAGTATCTAATATAGCGACTTGTAAACGGAAAGGATGATAAAATGCCCGCGAAAATGGCGTAGCTCTCATGGACATCGGGCGCCTGCGTTTACGACGTCGCACAGTGGGTCGAAACATAGCAAAACCCGGACATAAGACTCCAATCGTTGTGCAACTTCATTTTTTTCGTTTAAAAGACTGGAAGTTTTTAGGATTATTAATCTTAAAATATAAATCCTCCAATAATTTCGAGTTCGAAATGGCGGAAAGCCGAGTTTATAAAAACGGATGAACAAATTGAAAAAATCTTTGGACGAATTATAAAAAAAGTTGAAATGATTCCTACTTATTTGCCGATTAAACATGGTATTATTTTTCATTAGTTTTGAAAATAGAAATTACAAATAATTAATCAGTTAAAAGGAATAAACCTATTTTCAATCAAAGCGAATTTTAATGCATAAATATTTAAAGTGAATTTATATACGTATTCAATTCTGCAAATCGGATCTTTTTTTATCTTGAAATACATTCTTATAAACAGAACTTTGAATAGTAATATCACATATTAAATTACCAAGCAATTTATTAATTTTTGATGCTAATAAGTATATTGAGAACTGTGAAAAATTTAATTAATTACGAAAAATACAAATAATTAAGAATATTAATAATAGGGAATAACCGATTGACGGCCAAGCTGGATCTTAGTAGCTTTTTAATAATTCTGTGTGAATTATATATATACATATAATATTATATTATATAAATACAAGCACATGTACCATATTTGTAACTATTTGAATTGGTTTTAACACTGATCATAATATCGGCTTGCCGCCATTTTAAACTCAAAATTGTTGAAAGATTTATATTTCAAGATTAATAACCCTAAAAACTCACAGTCTCTTTTCTTTTTAAGCGAGAAAAATGAGGTTTTACAACGATTGGGGTCCTATGTTCATCATATTTCGAATTACGCGAGTCATATTATAAAATATGCGCACCTATAAATGTATTTTTCTCGAAACTGTGCAAGAAGGAGCAAAATATCAATGAACAGATAGTTTCCTGACAAGTTCTTCTGCATTTAAAAAAAAAAGTTTCTTGGAACTCTTTGGAACTTTTTTTGTATACCTCACTTTTGAATGAATTTTGTACTTCAAAAAAGCATTAAGTTTTTTAATTTTAATGGGACAAATTTTTGAATATTAATATTAGTTTTTAGTAACTTTTATTACAAACAAATGCGAAAAAGAAACATTGTAAACAATATAAGCATTTATGTATAGCATTGCTCTGATTGTTATCGATGATAACAATATACGTTAATTCTCCGCAATTTCTAAGTCTACACATTGTTAATGTCCATATAAACAGTAAACATTCATGGTTCGCTTTATACTTGAAATTAAGTTGAAACAAGCTTTAAACAATAATTAGAACCAGCTTTGAGGCCTTTTAAGCGAAAAAATAATTTTACCATATGTCCGGTTTTGCTATGTTTCGACCCACTGTGCGTCGTCACGCCGCAATAACGCGCGTCAGGACGAACGAACGGATCATCCAGATTCGAAAGATAAACAAAATCAAAATGAAATACAATGCACGGTTAAAGTCGGTACCACTTTCAAAAAATATGTAATTGAAAGCAACCAAAACGCGACCGCCGCGGTCGAGTAATTTTGAAGTCTACAACTTAAAGGATAAAGAATGTTGTTTCTAACAATAAACTAAAAACCTATTTATACTTACTTTCAGACAAGGTACAACAGCCAAAAGTTATCTTTGTTCACTGAAAACAGCTACATACAAAACAAAATTTATTGCCATCTGTCACCACTGCCGTTCCATTTTATTAGTACCCCCTTCCTTCAGTCAACATGCCGATTGCTTCACAGGTGCTGTCTCCAATGGCAAATGCTTGAAACAACTTTTGGCCGATACTAGCCGTTATATAATACTACCCGACACATTTCCCTATTAATTTAATACTTGTATTAATTCCACAAATAATCACTCTTTTCGTTTCTCGTGTGACGTATGCAAGTATAATCAATATAATAGACCTGTTAATGACAAATTGCACGAATATAGATCTATGTGCTACATAATATCTGAAGCATATTTGGTTGCAAAAATTTCGTATGCATTTTTATAAAATTTGTCTGCAAATAAAATCGGAGAGATATGCTAAAGCACTTAACATACTTACAGTGATCATAAATTATTTTTATAAATTATAATGTAATATATTGCAGATGCATTTATTTGCAGTATGCGTTTATTTTTCTTTAACCCTTTGCGGCATAGTGACACTCCTGAGTGTCACCTTTTTCTGTACACTTTTTTACATTTTTGAAACACTATTTAATTAGTTTTAATGAGAAAAAGCATATAAAATGTATTAGAGAACATCCCTTCATAGAAATAAAAAAGAAAACAAAGGTTATTGTTAATTAATTGAACGTTATAAATAAATTTAAAAAAAAACGATTTTTTTTTTAAATAAATGTAATTCTGACTAATTAACAGTATAAAATAATCTGAAGATGATATGTAGAGAGTTTTTGGGGTCGCTGATTACGAATCCGGTGTCAGTTTTTAAAAATTCAAAATGGCGGATCCAATATGGCGGACGAATTTTTTAAAATTGCTTAAATTCGCTTGAAACTTGTCACTCGGGGGTTTTTGGGGTCGCTGATTTCGAATATATAGTCAGTTTTGATAAATTCAAAATGGCGGATCCAATATGGCGGCTGAAAACTACCAATTTATTGAATTTTGATGAAATATGGTTTTTGGGAGTTTTTTGGGTCGCTGATTTCGAGTCTATAGTCAGTTTTGAAAAATTCAAAATGGCGGATCCAAGATGGCACCTGAAAATTGCAAAATTTATTGAATTCTGATGAATCGTGGATCTGATGAGTTTTTGAGGTTACTAAATAAATTGAACATGGAATATTTCAAAAACTGTACCACAGGGATTGTTTTGTATGATGTTTTTTCCCGCTTTAGCGTTATCCAGAGCTAACGACGAGGACGTAGCGAGAGTTTAGCTCCACTTTTTTTTTATTTTTTTTGTTTTTTAATTTATTTTTTTTTTGGTTTTTATAATTTTATAATTTCTTTTTACTTTTTTCTTTTTTATAATAAATAGATTACAAATTAGGTAATTGAAATAAATACATTCTACTTTGTAACCTTCTCAAGCGTGGTATTCTGCGAAACAATTGCGATCGAGTAAGAGACACAAAGGTACATTGCAGGTGCTACATTTCCATTTTGTGACTCTTCGATTGATTTTAGTTGAGCAATGAGTGCAACGTCTCGATTTCTTTTCCTCGATCATTTGAGGCATGTGAGCCGCAGAAGCATGTCTCTTTTCAAGGGACACCTGTGGCTTACATGTCTGAGCACAGTCAACGGAAGAATGTTTCCTGCCTTTTTTCGTAGGAACACTTTCACCAATCAATCCATCCACGAGCGCAAGTCTGAATTTTTTTAGCGATAGATTGTTTGCACTGCTACTTTGTTTGTAAATGATAAAAGCGTTTGTCACGCAAACATCAAGAAAGTGCCAAACTATTCGCAGCCACCATTTCTTTGACTTTCTATCAACTTCGTATAAGGATTTCAACATATCCGCTTTAACGACATAGCCTATGTGCTTATTATATCCCTTACCATTTCAGGACAGCTTATAATTTTTGTCGAACCATCTTTCATTCATCGATTGACATCTATCGTAACTGAAGGATCATGAAAATTCGATAGAAGTGACACTACTCGATTGTCTTTCCATTTTAGCCACGCAAGACCCTTGTACGAACTACGAAATTCATGCTCACCTCTTACCATATCCTTATCTTTCTTTTGTGTCTTGGGTAAACCGACTCTGTTGCTCCTTACAGTTCCACATGCCATAATATTTTCAGTCTTCAAGGAAATCATAAGTTCAGTACTGGTAAAAAAATTATCGAAGAATACTCGGTGATTATCTCCGACAATTGTTCGAGTTAGATCTTTCACCACCCTTGATCTTAATGACTTCTCCGACTGATTATTATCTGATTTTCCTACGTAAACCTGAAACTCGCACACAAAAACACTTTCATCTGCATGTACCCAAACCTTATATCCACGTTTTATGGGCTTCATCGGCATGTATTGTTTCAATGAACTCCTTCCTTTGAAGCGAATCATACTTTCGTCGATTGATTGGTACTGATTTGGTTTGTTTGGTACTGAGCAGGTTTTGAAAGTTTCAGATAGTTTATCGAGTAAAGGTCTGATTTTATATAACTTATCAAATCCTGGCTGCCCCTTCTTTGGTTCATTTGAATTGTCGTTTAGGTGAAAATGAGATAATAAGTATCCAAAGCGGATGACAGTCATTACGTTTGAGACATATGTGTCATGGAGCAGTTCATTTCTTGACCAAAAATCACGATAGGATGGCAGTTTCTTTACACCCATAAAAATGTTCAAACCTAAGAATTTCAATATTTCATCTTTTGTGACAACATTGAACGGCTTCTTCTCTATTTGAGCACTATAAAGATTAGTTTGATGAACAATCAACTCTATAAGTTCATTAGGAAATAAACACAAAAAAATATCCAACGGAGTTTTGGCTGAATCCGGAATATTTGGACCAGAATTTTTAGTGAAAGGGGTGTCATCTTTTGATCTTGACTTTTTTTCCAAAATTCCATCTAAATTTGCTAATCGTACTGTAAGAATTTCATTTGATTCATTGTCACTGTCATCAACACTATCCATTCCAACGTCACTTTCTTCTGAAAGCTCCACATCGTGATTTATTCTAGTCTCAGCATCAGAAATATCAACATCTTCATCCTCAGAATCACACAATCCATCAATGGATTCAGAATCACTAGGTATATTTTTCATATAATGTTTCCATGTTGCAGGAACTTGTCCTCAACTTTCGCAATGAAATTGACAAATCAAAATGTTAATATTATGCACAAAAGATACACGTGATAAAACGTTAAAATCGATGAACATTTATCAATATGTTTGTAACGATGCCCCCTAAAAATAGGCATCGTACCCGGCACAAAATCCAGCCGGTTGCCGTCGCAATGACCGGTGGTCATTAGTGACGATGAGGGCGCGGTGCGCCCGAATATATTTTTAAAGCAATCCAAAGATAATTCGCAGGTACAGCAGCCGCAGTAGAACCGCCAGTCTCGCCGAAAGGTGCCGACCATCGTCGGGAACCGCCGGTCGGAAATCTTCTCCCACGAGAAGCCGATCGGCGGAAAATACCGCGACCCATCGGAGCTTTACGAGCGAGACTGACGACCGAGTATAAGATACCGCGATATCAAGCCGCGCGAGGCATTTTTGTCTTCACCGCTTTCCTGACACATCCGATCCGATCACCAGCTCACGATACCGATCCATCGACTCGCTCGTCCGACGAACCTGAGGGGTAGGGTGTACCCTGCCTCTGCCGGGCGCTCCCGGCCGCCGAACGAGCCGTCCAGGAAACGCATCTCGAGCACGCAAACAAATTCACGTGTTGTTCCGACGAACCTGAGGGGTGGGGTGTACCCCGCCTCTGTCGGGCGTTCCCGGCCGCCGGACAGCCGTAATTAGTTATCACTCCCACCTTCCGTACCTTCTTTTCCGCATCCCGAAAATCCCGTCTTGGTACTTGACATTCGAAAAGGGGTAGGGCGCTCCCTGCCTCTGTCGGGCGTTCCCGGCCGTCAAGTACCAACTCCGTTTCCTTTTCCTAGCATTGCCAAAATTACGTATCGCGCCGCGAAACGACGCTTGCTGGCGTATACCCGCGTTCCGCCGCGTTGCAAATCGCCGTCGAGAAACCCGCGACCGCCTGTATATATCTCGCGCCGTTTAGATTTAGTTTTCGTTGCCGTGTCCGCGTCCGTTTTCTGCGATAATATATACGTACATTTTTCTGTTGTCCGCGCTCGCTTGTATATATATATTTTCTGTTACCTGCGCTCGTTTATTTTCTTCGCTGTATTATTGTAAGTCGCGTCCGTTAATTATATATTCCAATGTTATCTTCTCTTCTATTATTATAATTTCTTTATTACCTAGTTGTTTTAATAAACCATGTTTCTTGTCTAATTATTACTTTCGCATTAGTATTTTGCTTTTCCGATTTCCGACGTTTCACATAATTTTCCGCTGCACCGTTCTGACGCGAATACTCCTTCCGCCGAACCTTTTTTATACGACACGCATTTTTCCGACGAGCTAGTCTGAGTATAAAAATCAGGTAGTTATGTTCACTAGAAAAAAGATATGAATGTGCAAAATGCAATGAAACAAGAGACAAAAGAGAATCAGTCATTCATTTGTTATGGTTTGTGAAAAATAAGTGAAACTGATCTCAGATCCTAACACGGATAAGTTGTTACGAATTCGAAAACTGCCCCAAACCGAAAACGCCAAGTTAGCCTAGACTGCTCTACTCATAGTTTCGCTTGACACAGTGCGGGTAATGTCAGTCAGGTCATCGTACACGCACTACATATTTTCATTTATCAATAAAAATTGGTATATAATGGTTTTCGGGATCGCTAATTACGAATCTCAGACTTATAAATTCAAAATTCAGAATACATAGAGTACCCAGTTTTATCTCGATCAAGTAAATTTTCACATTTCCGTCGGTCATCTTGGATCCGCCATTTTGAATTTTCAAAATCTGACTTCAGATTCGTAATCAGCGACCCCGAAAACCCCCGAGTAACAATTTTCAGCTGTTTTCCGTGTAAAGAAAAATGTATGCCGCAAAGGGTTAATATTTATTGCTATAATTTAATTTAGGGGAGAGTGGTCTAAATTGGATCCATTTACAGCTTTTGTTCTGTATAAAGCGTAAATACAGTCCAATTATAAAACCAATGGTGCCGTTCGAAAGATCATTTAATTTCCTTCATTTTTGCTTCAGACCATTTTGACGTATCTCTTGCCTGTGTCGAACTATAATGGAAAATATAAAAATGCATTTTCCGGTCCCATTTGAAATCATTAGTTCCAAAACGGACCTCTTCTATTTTTATAAACATTTAAATAGAACTTTAAAATATTTTAATTTTTGTTAGTGTTGAGTAAAAACGAGCAATTTATGAGTCTAAGATAAAAATACAGTTTATATTATTAGAATTAAAATCAATAAAAAATTCCATCAATCTGAGTCTAATGACACATGAAATTTTATTGATTTAGTGTCCCTTAGACCAGATCTGATCGGTCGATCACCAGTACTACAACAGGTTGTGGCGAACCTTCTTCCTTCGATGAATTAGCTGGCTTATTCGTCTTTTTAGTGTTATTTGTATAGATCCGATTTGGACACCCAAAGAGAGGTTCGATTTGGACACGGGTTGTTTCAAATTATTGGAACAAATTTTACAAATACATAAACCGCAAAAGCAATCACAAAACTCTTGATATTTTTAAATTCTACACTCTTCTCAATTATCTTAAATCAATTACCGTTCAAATTTTTAACATCTTTTAAATAATGATTTACAAGGATTTTTTTTAATTTTTGCATGATAGCCAAAAATACATATTTGCGTCTATTTTATGAATGTTATGGTCGTTATGACGGAGTACTGCCAAACTGCTATTACATGTTCGGTGTCTTATAAGGACTTTATATTATAAATAGCACGCAAATCTGCTTAACCGTATTTATTTAAATTAAAAAGGTCCGATTTGGAACATGATCCGCGATTTAGGACATTCTCTCCTACTAACTATTAACTATAAAATGTTGTAAGCAATGAAATATGTTCATATATGGGTGTGAATCTAAGTACATCTAAACTCCAAAAAAATGAAAATATTGTCTAAATTTAACAAAAATTGGCTTTTCTCAGAACAAATTAGGTTCGGCATTAAGGGTCCATATCCATCAATAGGTCCAAAAAATGGATACTTACAGCTAATCAGCTATTCCAGGTCCATACAGTAACTCCTCAACTTCCTCAAAATTACGCATAGCAGCCAACTTTTCGTTTGTTCGGGTCAGTCTTTGTTCCATAACTTCATAGGTGCATCTTTTCTCTGCGTCCTTCTTCCGCGATTCGTCACGTTCACTCGCAAATTGATGTGCAAGTGGGCCGATGATGCCCATGGTTTCCATTATTTTCAGGACAGGTTTGAAACCTTCGTTGAAAATGCAGACAGCCAAAAATGTGGCTATTTCAATAATATTACTGCCGTTGAAAACGTGTTTCGGCGCGAACTGCCATATGGTTTTATTAAAACTTTCATTATTATTCTGCGTGAATCCTCCAAAACAGCGAACTAGCAGATCATGGGAAGATAAATCTTCATAGATTGGCCGAATTACGTCCTGCACCTTTTAGTCGAGAGGAGGGGAATGAACGTAGCTGCTTATGAACGCGCGCGCTCTGCACTTACCTCAGTGCTGCCTGCGCGTATGGACTTATAACTTTTGAACCTTTATGAATTTCAGTTTGCGCTTTTAACACACTATTCTACACACCTAGAGCTATCAAACTATGACAAAAAAAATTTCGATTTTTTGAACGCAACTGACGGATATGGACCCTTAATTAGCGTGATCAATAAATGTAAATGTATAAAATGCCGTGCCTTCAATTAAATATAGCAGAAGTTAGTTGAATGCAAAATTTACAAGTTATGAAATACTGAATATCAAAAATGTATTCTTAATCCGTGGGTCGCTGTTCGTTGAAAAATCATGTAATACTTCTACTAATTCGTAATACACATAATTATATACATTCATAATTTATTAATTTTTATAACAATCGGAATTGCAATTTTCTTATAATCCTATATACTACTCAACAAAATTAAGACATTTCCACACAAAAATAATCTACTTAATTTCAAAATAAAATAACTTCGTCAAAAATCATCGTATTGAGATGTGTAAGAAAGCATTTTAAATTTTGAAATCTACTTTTCAAAACAGTTATTTAAGAAACGGGAAAAAATGTAGATTAGGGGAGATCCCCCCAATGACCTTGACCTTGACATATGTTGTCAGGGTCATGACCCTGAGTGACCTTGAGGAAGTTTTAACCGTCGGACTTAACTCGTTAAAAAGTTATTAACAAAAAAAGTTTCAAAATTAACGTATCATTTCTGCCATATATGTATTATAACAAGTACTATTTTGGTAAAGGTATAGAATACCCTGATCACCTCAAATTTTGATAAAAATACACTCATTCGACGCATTTTTGCACGAAACGAACGAATCTGGAAATAAAAAGTGCCGCTCTGCCCTCCGAACAGAGATATTAAGCGTTAAAGTTGACGACTGTTGAGGTTAGGAAATCTGTCATTTCGACTATGTATGATAGTACTACGAGTAGAAAGTAGAAGTCGTGCGCCCCTCAGCAGGGGGGGGAGGGAGAGATGGACAGAGGTCTGCCCCGTCAGGGGGGGGGGGGGGGGAGAGAGATGGACAGATGTCTGCCCCGACAGTACAATCGTAGAAGTCGTACGCCCCTCAGCAGGGGGGAGGGGTGTTAGATTTACTATGAACGTAAGGATATGCCACAAATTAATACAATAGTGTAATATGAATTGTGAATATAAAAGATGATATTTATTTTCGCTATACAACAAAGAGTACAAACAAGCATTAAAAAGTGAACAACTAGTATGCTAGAATAAAATATCCTACTGCAGCGCCATCTCTGCTTTACCGACATTAGCACGTGATCATAAATATTCTTTACCTATCGAATCAATAAAATGCTTTATCCAACACTTCTCATTTTATTGAGTTAGACCAACTAAACTCCTAAGTTCCTCCATTCTTCGAGCTGTTAATGGTTTTGTCAACAAGTCTGCAATCATTCTTTCAGTTGGGCAGTATTCACATATTACTACTCCTCGGTGTACGTAATCCTTTACAAACTTGACCTTTGTATCAATGTACTTATTTTGATTTGTAAATCTCCCAGTTTCAACAAATTTAAGGCAGCTTTAGTTGTCCTCGTATATCCGTATTGGCCCATTCACGATTTGCTGCATGTCGTTCAATAGTTGTTTAAGCCAAACAGCTTCTTTGCACGCTTCTGACAATGCAATAAACTCTGCTTTCATGGTAGAAAGTGCTACTAGACTTTGCTTGCGACAACCCCAACTAACTAAACCTCCGCCGATAAAGAATGCATAACCACTATTCGATTTTCTGTCCAATTAGCGTCAGAATATCCGTACAACAATTCGTCTCTATTACTATTATCTGTGAGTGTCAACCTCAGATTCGATGTTCCTTTCAAATATTTCAATATTCGTTTTAATTCATTCCAGTCTTCTTGAGATGGACAACTTACTTTGTGTGCTAGAATTGAAACACTTTCTGAGATGTCCGGCCGTGTGTTTACTGAAATATAGAGTAAGCATCCAATAAGTTTCTGGTAGTCTTTATTTGTTAACAACAAATCACTGTTTTGACCTGACTTTGAATACTCTATGTTTATAGGAACATTTGAAATCTTTGCATTCTGTAAGCCAAATTCAGCTATTGTTCTTTTGATGTATTTGGATTGACATAGATTGTACGTTCCACATTCGCTCTTGGTAATTTCTATGCCTAGATAAAGCCTCTCTTCTCACAAATCTTGAATTTCAAAAACTGTGTTGATGTCTCCCTTGACTTTATTTATGATTTCGTTTGATTTTGCTGGTACAATCATATCATCGACATGAACGATAAGAATGCACCATCCATCTTTAGTTTTAATATAGAGGATCAGCATTACTTTGTACAAAACCTATGTTATTCAAAGTCTTATTGAGCTCGTCATACCAAGACTTCGCTGCTTGTTTCAATCCGTACAAGCTTTTCTGTAGCAAGCAAAATAACCTTTCTTTACCATTCTTCATGAACCCTGGCGGTTGCTTCATGTAGATCTTCTCCTTTAACCTTCCATTTTGAAATGCCGTCTTAAAGTCTAGATGTCGTACAATGTATTTTTCTCTCGAAGCGACTGCTAACAGCGTTCTGAACGTTGCATGCCTAGCTACTGGAGCAAAAACTTGATCGTAGTCAGTTCCGTACTTTTGGGTAAAACCTTGAGCTACCAGTCGTGCTTTAAAGCGAATATTTCCTTCTATGTCTTCCTTTGCTTTATATACCCATTTGCAATCGATTGCCGTTCAATCATTTGGCAATTCGCATAATTTCCAAGTTTTATTCCTTTCCAGTGATTGCATCTCTTCTTTCATTGCTTTAATCCATTGATCCTTGTCTTCACTCGATAGAGCATCGACCAACGTCTTTGGATCTCTTCTTTCATCAATTGTGTGATAAACTAGCCGATTAGGAGGTACCCCTTTGGATGCACGTTCCGAAATTCGTTTTGTTGGTTGCACTGTCTCCTCCTGAAGATTATCTTCCTCACCTGTTTCGAGTCCTTTATTATTCTGATCTTCTTCTGCGCTTTCAAAAGATTCAAAGCTCATATCAGAGTCACTATCCCGATCCTCCGTTGATTGACTCTAACTGCAACTTAGTTCAACTTCACCGCTTTCCAATTTCTTGTTATCCATCCTGGTATTTATGAAATGAACATCACGACTAATGGTCAGTTTCCTCTCAACTGGATCATAACAGCGATATGCTTTAGAATTTTCATCGTATCCAACAAAAATCATTGGTTTTGATACTTTATTCAGTTTTTGTCGCTTTTGAACTAGAACATGAACGAAACATTTTAAGCCGAATATTTGAAAGTGCTTTACTTTTGCCTTTTTACGCATCCATTGTTCATAAGGAATTGTTTCAACTGCCCTAGTAGGTAAACGATTTTGTATGTAGTTTGCTGTAGCAACTGCTTCGGCCCAAAAGGTATATGCTAAATCTACATCCAACAGCATGCATCTCGCCATTTCAATAAGCGAACGGTTTTTTCATTCAGCCACACCGTTCTGTTGTGGTGTGTAAGGTGCAGTGTACTGTACTTGGATACCTTGATTTTTCAAATACTCTACAATAGCTTTATTGACATACTCTCCTCCTCGATCTGATCTTATTATCTTTGGTCGTCTTGAGAATTTATTCTTCACCATCTCCACATACTTCTTGATTTTGATTTCGACTTCGGATTTCTTGTGCAAAAAATAAATTACTGTATATCTGGAGAAGTCATCAATAAATGTAAGTATATAGCGCTTACCACCACACGAAACCGTTTGCATAGGTCCGCATACATCCGAATGTATTAAATCAAGTACAAATGTTGACTTGTTTGATGACTTCTGAAAAGGGAGCCGTGTCATTTTTGCTTGAAGACACACCTCGCATTGTACCTTAAGTTCACAGTCAAAAATTTTTGTCTCATTGGGCGCTTGTCTTGTGCACATTTGTTTGATTGCATTCGGATCTCGATGCCCAAAGACTCGATGCCAATGATGCATACAGTTTGACTTATGCTGAGTAACTTTACTAATTTTATCTGAGTGACATAACTTATACAAGTTACCGTTTGCCTTGGCAACCGCTATCTGTTTTTGTCCGACCTTGATTTCACAAATGTCACCTGAAAAGTTAACTGTAAAGCCTTTATTCACTAGCTTCTTTACTGACAGCAAGCTTCCATTGATCTATGGTGCATATAGAACATCTGTCACGGTTGCGTATGATGTCATCCCATCTGAATTTGTAAGCTGAATTCTGCATATACCTTTCCCTTGAACACTTACATCTTGACCGTTAGTTACATTTAAACTTGAATTGTCTGTGTGTTCAAATGAAACAAAACAATTTTTGTTACTTGTAACGTGACTTGTCGCACCGGAATCAATAATCCAGTCACCTGAGCTATTTGACGAAACCATGAATAGAAATTCATCTTTCTGCTCGACCTTATTTGCTTTGTCATTGTCTACTGTTTTCTTCGCTGCTGACTTTTCTTCTTTATTTCTTTTTTCCTTCCATACCTTGTATGCCTCGCATTCCCTCTTTAAATGGCCGTTCCTTTTGCAAAAAAAACATGATAGTGTACCTTGAGTAGTCTTTAAAATTAAACCGCTACTGCCGTTATCTTGGTTACTGTTTTTCTTGCGTCGACTATACTCATCAATTAGTTTTGATTTTACCAAAGAGATTGTTAAGTCAGCTTCCGGTTTCGCTTCAAGCGCTGTAACCAATGTATCGTAGCTTCTTGGCAAACTGCTTAAAATCATAGCCACAGTCCATTTTTCTGATAATTGTTCCTGGCTAAGATCAACTAATTTCTGAAACAGATCTGTTAATTCACAAATATGTTTTTCCATATTGCCATCCTCATTCAATTTTGAGCTGCAAATCCTTCGCATAAGGTTAACTTTGTTGCCAAGTGAATCCTTTTCATAATATTCCTTTAATGCTGTCCATGTGTCACGTGCCGACATCTTTGTTCGAATAAGGTGTAATTGGCTGTCCTCAACCAAGAGTCCGATCACAGAACGAGCTTGGTCATCTCGCCTTTGCCAGTCGGTTACAATTCCTATGTTCGAGTTAGTGCCGTCCTGGCATTTTGGTTTTGTTTCACTTAAAACACTCCATAGATTTTCTTTAATCAATAGCAATTCCATTTTATATTTCCAGGTAAAGTAGTTTTCAACACTTAACTTTGCAATCGCTGTTTTTGTTATATCGGTCATCTCATATACCTTGGTATTAGACGGTCACTAACCTGTACAATTCTTCGAGAAATAAACCTGTGAGATAGCGCTTTATTTCCTTCAATCTTTGTCTGTAATATCCTATAGACTGGGCCCATAACCTGTTAGATTTACTATGAGCGTAAGGATATGCCACAAATTAATACAAAAGTGTAATATAAATTGTGAATATAAAAGATGATATTTATTTTCGCTATACAACAGAGAGTACAAACAAGCATTAAAAAGTGAACAACTAATATGCTAGAATAAAATGTATCCTACTGCAGCGCCATCTCTGCTTTACCGATATTAGCACGTTATCATAAATATTCTTTACCCATCGAATCAATAAAATACTTTATCCAACAAGGGGGAGATGGACAGAGGTCTGCCCGACAGTACAATCGTAGAAGTGGTGCGCCCCTCAGCAGGGGGTAAGGAGAGATGGACAGAGGTCTGCCTCGACAGTGCAATCGTAGAAGTCGTGCACCCCTCTGCAGGGAGGGGGAGGGAGAGGTGGACAGAGGTCTGCCCTCTTTACGTTTGTAAAGCGTCTTACTTGCGTCGAGGTAATCTGACTGACTAATTGAAACATATCGATCGAAACTATTCACAACGACTGAAAAACTCAAAACAAATATATATCAATATACCAGCACAATAACACGTGATTTTTCGATATGACTGTGCTTCTATGTTGTTTGTATGGCAATCTGTCTTATAGTGATTCATAAATGGTAAGAAGTATACCTCTTGTATTCATTTTTATTGCATTTATTCTTGGTCTGTTATATTGTTTGTGTGTGTGTGTGTTTGTGTGTGTGTGTGTGTGTAGGGGGGGGGGGGGGGTTAAAGTTACTTCGCGTAGGAACTTTAACGTTTCTACACAGGAGGAAATGTAAAGTAGTACTTGTTATAATACATATATGGCAGAAATGATACGTATATTTTAGAACTACGATTGTTAATAACTTTTTAACGAAGGACGTGCGACGGCTAAAACCTGTAGGAGGTTACTCAGGGTCATGACCTTGACAACATATGTCAAGATCAAGGTCATTGGGGGAGTCTCCCCTAATCTACATTTTTACCAAGAAACGTTATTGCCGATATTTCATAAAGTTACACAAACAAAAATAAAGATGCATCAAATCTTAAATTTTTATACGAAATTTGTAAGGTTGCACGATGCGGATTAAAAATTGTACACAATTGCGGTTTACAACTTTCAAAAGACTGAATCTTTATCTTTAATTTGTTATTTTTCCAAACATTGTACGATTTTTTTTACCGAGTTATTCAATGTTGAAATAAAAATGACTTCTTTTGCTTCAACGTTGAATGACTTAATGAAAAAAAATTATATAAAGATCAGAAAAAAGCAAATTAAAGGTAAAGATTCAGTCTTTCGAAAGCTGTAAACCGCATTTGTACACAATTTTTAGTTCGCGTCATGGAATTTCTGAAATTTCTTACAAAATTTTGAAATTTGACGCGTCTTTATTTATGGTAATGTAACTTCACGAAATATATATATATTCCTTGACAGCATATGTCAAGGTCAAGGTCATCGGAGGGTGGTCCCCTTTTGTAAAGGTTTACCGTTCTATGTTTAAAATATAAAAATGTTATGCCATTTTTGTAAAAAGGACTTTAAATCTATACGCTTTTTGATTGTGCATTTTAAACGTACTCATTCGAAAAATGCAATATTTACATGTTGTGAACTGAATTGTCATAAAATTTTTATTACCGTTACTTGAAAAATAACTTTTCGTTACTTTTCCGTTACTTTTTTAAAATCAATTTAAAAATGTACTTTTGCATTTTTATTTGATGATAATGATAGTAATAAATTTGAAATTCAGGATTGTAACTTCAATGACGTACAAAATAATACGGGACTTGATATAAATACTGATCTCTCTATTACATCATCAGTTTCTAATTATCCTAATGATACGTCATACAATAATATTAATGAAATATCAGAAATTAATGAAATAAGTAATAGTTTAATTCTTGAGAATAATATAATTTCTGAATTTCAAATTTCTAATTATCCTAATTGTACGTCATACAATAATATTAATAAAACATCAGGAATTAATGAAGTAAGTAATAGTATAATTTCTGAATTTCAAATGGAAGAGTCGCTTAAAAAAATGACTGATTTTGTTTCTAAATTTGTACTTATTCTTCAAAATAATAATAATTTTACTAGGAAAGATGTTTCTAAAATACAGGAATACGCGAACAAATGTTTAATCGATCCGTTATTGGATATTATATAATCATTTACTGATAATAAATTTCAACAAGATAGTTCTGTGCATAATGAATTTTGTAGTCTAATATCAAATTGTAGAAATCCCTTTAAATTTTTTAATACTGAATATCTCTGGTACAAATGGTTAAAAAATAAGAATTATATTGAAGATATACAAGAATTTACAATTAATAACACAATTAGTGCAATTCATCGGAACGGTAGTTTTATGTATGATGAAAAACGAATAAAGGGTGCCCTTATGCCCTTGAGATTTCAATTTAAAAAAACATTTGAAAAAGAAGGAATTTTAAAGCGTACGTTAGATAATATTGACTTTTTACAAAAGT